TGACATGTGTTTGGCAACGAAGTCGTGCTGTCCTTCGTGCGCGAGGCGCCCTGGTGGCAATGTTCTGGTACATGCGATGTGGCACTGCACATACAAACTAGCACGTACAGCAGCAAAGAGATGTGCGCACACATACGTGCATACGCGCACCTCTGCTGGAAGTTGAGGAGAAAGTGAACAGCGGCACCAGCGCCCAAACACACACCAGGGCCATGTATGTCGCGCTGGAAGGGTGATGATGATGATGATGATGATGATGATGATGATGATGGTGGTGGTGGTGGTGGTGGTGGTGGTGTTGGTGATGATGATGGCGAACGCAATCGCGGCAGGTTCTAACAGCATGTCTTCACAACAACAAAGTGCGCGAAATTCCTCATCAGCACCACAACACACCTGCAGTGGTGGGCAGAGTGTGCCTGTTGTCGGATCCATGTTCTCTGTCAGCCACACGAACCACCTGGTGGAGTGATGCGGGTAGAATGAAAGCACATGGCCGTGTCCTGGCATGAGAACCAGTGCGCCTTCAACACAGACAACGGAAGCCATTTCCACCATCACACCACGCCACGCCACTACCACTACCACACACACCACCCCGCAACATGTCACCAACACCAAGCCGCTTGCGTCCTCGCACCAGTTGAGAAAGTCGAGAACGGGCTCAGATTTCGTTCCGCTTTCAAGCGCCAGGACTGCGGGAATGGCCACCATCTTGTGAGCACACGAGTGCACGCTGTCGCACCCCTGAGCCACACGTATATATGACCCACAGTGCCGGAGGAGTGTAGCGTTAAAACGGTGGGACGAGCTTCAGCATCAGCCCAAGAATCAAGCGCCGAGACAACTCCAGGCTCAAACAGTGGTGGGCGTGGCTGCAAGGCACTAAGTTTTGTAATTGTGAACGCACTGCTGAAGGAAAGGCATGCAGGAGCGCCTCATATGTTGGCAGCCACTCCTTGGTGTTGTTGGCAAACTCGTGGTACACCTGGTTCCTGTACCTGCATCGATGGCCATCGTCCCGAGAAGAGAAGGGAGTGTGCATGTATGTGTGTACGTGTGTGCACGTGTGTGTGCATGTGTGCATGCGTGTGAGTGTGTGCATGTATGTGAGAGAGCCAAACGTTGCTTGCGCGCAACCCCCCGGTTGTACACGAGCGTGCACGGCAGCAACAACCGCAACGACAGCAACAACAACAGGCAAGCACCTGGGTGCGGCGCCGAGGAGGGCGAGGGCAGAGGCAGCGTAGCCCGTGGAGTGCCATGGCTGAAATCCCGTCGTGAACTCGCCCGGTGTCAGCTCGTAGAACCCAGTCGTGTTCTGGAAGCCTGACATAACATGACATGATGTGACGTGACGTGACATGTCATGACACACCACACGAGTGGAATGAGTGTCAGTAGATTCAAAACAACAGTGCAGTCGAGGTTCGAACGTGCACTGCACATCAAAGAGGTTGCGTGCATGAACACGCACGTTGGTCTTCTAACAAGCTGCAAACCGTGCAAACGACCGCGTTGTCACACACACACACGCACACACACACACACACGCACACGCACACACACACGCACACACACACACACACACACGCACACACACACACACACACACACACACGACGGATACTTTCAGACCTTGGATGGTGGTTGCCCAGTCTTCGATTTGTTGAGGTGTGCACTCAGAGAGCTGGCCCACAAACTGGAGTAAGTGCGCCACGTCAGCGCTGCCGTACAGCGTGGTGTGCTGGTCCTTTGTGTTGAACCCAAACTCACCGCGGCATGCTGCAACGTACAACAAAGTTAGCGATGAGCAGCACGTTTTCACATTGAAAGGGACGGAAAGAAGAAACACAGGGACAGGTACTGCTGTAAGGAAACGCAAGGGCAAACCACAAGCACACACAACAAGATCACACAACACGCAAGCACACAAACAAACACAAACACGCAAGCACATGAACGAACACAAACAAACACAAGCACTACAACCACCAAAACCACACACAAATCAACGCACCACACGGGTCGCCGGTGCAATTGTGCGACGATGTGGTGTGGGCTTTGAGCCATAGTGGCAGCGCAGTCGTTTCGAATGGCCTCACGTCCGCCACACACTCCTCATCACCACCACTCACCGGCACAACAGTGCCGCACAGGCAGGTGCCTGCCAGCACAACCACAACAACAACAAGCCGCGCCGTGGTGGTCATCATCGTCCAAGTCCTGCCGAAAGTTATTATAAGTTTTCAACAAATCATCCCAACTTCACACCCGAAGAAGATGGTGGTTGAGGAGGATGATGGTGGCCGCGGGGTGAAGGGAGCACCGAGTGCACGTGGTGCATGTCGTGCTGGGCTGACGCCAGCTGAAGAAGCCATGGTTGCGTGGCTGGACCAGCTCTCCAAGCGCGTTGAGCAGCGCCAAGAGCTTTTACAACGCCTGGTGAGCTGTTTTGCGTGGGACACTTGGTTGGTTGCACTTTTTACGGTTCCTCGAGTGAGAGTGGCTGGGTTGGGTTGGCGCCAACTGCTGCATGCGTGAATCTGACGTGTGCATGTGCGATGCTGGTGGCAGATGGCACCCAGCGACCGCTTGGATGACGAGGATAACAATGGCTCTGTAGATGCAAGTTCAGCGTTGGCCACGAGCTTGTTTTTGGAGCAGAACGACACGGGGGCCCATGCAGACGAGGAGGTGGCATCTAGCGCGCTGGCACTGCACGCTGACCAAGAGCAGTTGCCGGGCCGCCACGTCCTCAGCTTCAGGGCCGCTGCAACTGAGCTTGCAGATGTTGACGGCGAACCTGGTGAGACCGTAGGGGAGGAGGAGAACCCAAGTGCAACAGCTGCTGACGGTGTAGATACGGGGCAGAAGGTTGAGCAGCTCCTGCAGGACTTGATGTCATCTGGTGAAGAGGACAATGAAGATCTAGACGATGGCGACGAAGATAAGCAGGGAGACAGGGACGATGACGTGGATGTCGCACATGCTGAAGGCGACGAGAATGAAGCAGAGGACCAACACAATCAACTCCAGGGCTATCGCGGATCGCGCATGTTCATGAAGGCACGTTGGCGTGTGTGTGCGTGCATGTGTGTGCGTGTGTGCGTGTGTGCGTGCATGTGTGTGCGTGTGTGCGTGTGTGCGTGGGTAGGTGTGGGTCAGTATGAATGCGCAGGGTGGTGTTTGCATGCATGCACATGTGCCGCGCCCACATCACACCCACACCTCACAGCTCACACGCGTTGTCCAAACACATCTCCATTTCGTCAGGGGAAGACGGGCAACACACCGCAGAACGATTACAGCCAGCACTTTGTTGATACGAAACAGCGACCGCAGAACTTCATCCGTGATGCAGGTGTGTGTGTATGTGTGTTCGGAAAGTGTAAGCAGCATCTGGATCCGTGTGATCAGCAACATGACGACCATCCCACTCAATGCGGTGTGTCACTTGTGTTTTCAGATCCACTCACGCGCTACCGTTGCTATCCACGACTGGACACCCTCAGCCGCCTCAAGGTGCACAGTGTGTGCGCTTGTGTGCGTGTGTGTTCGTGTGTGTGTGCGTGCGCGCGTGTGTGTGTTCATGTGTGTGTGTGTGTGTGTGTGTGTGTGCGTGTGTGTTCGTGTGTGTGCGTGCGCGCGTGTGTGTGTTCATGTGTGTGTGTGTGTGTGTTGCTTTGCACGTGTGCACTGGAACGCGGTTCACCAACACGCGTGTTCACTATCACTGCAATCGTCTCCATCACCACTCGCCTGCTTGCTGCTGTCCCAAGGATGATCTGCTTCGCGCCCGCAGCACACCGCCAATGTGAGACATATGCATGCACCAACATGCGTGCATGCAAATATGTGCATGTATGTGTGCATGTGTTGAGCGCCTCTTTGTTCGCCGATGATGTGGTTCCTCTCCACGTCTGCCTCTGCAACAGACCTACTCACCACCATCACCACCACGACCATCACCATCACGCCGCCATCACCACCACTGCCGCCATCCTGCGTGGCCAGGAGCATCCGTGCTGATCCGCTGTGTCTTGATGCGTCTTCTCTCGGCACGTCGTTTGGCGTCATCTACATCGACGCGGTGGGATGGTGTCAATCGTGTGGTGTGGTGCGGTGTGGTGCGGTGTGGGTTTGATTTTGTGAGCTCTTCTTACCGTACAACCCCCTCCCCCCCCCCCTTTGTGCGCATGACATGTGTTTATGTGTGCGTGTGAATGCGTGTCCATGCTTGCATCACAGCCACTACCGGAGTATGCGCGAAGGGCGCCCGGCCTCAAACTGGACACCGTGTCCTGGGAGGAGGTATTGGTGCCGCTGCTGATGCCGCTTTGCAATGTGCTGAACTGCGAATCTGCTGCTGCCGACGACACTGCAGCAATGGCCTTGGCCTCACAACCATACCCTGCTGTTCCAAACATGCATACACACTCACTCGCGCTCACACACACACACACGCACTCTCTCTCTATCACACACCCCCTCTCTCTGCTGCAACACATAATCATCTCATTCTCTCTTGCCCCGCCACACCTGCCGGGTACACAGCTTGGACGGTTGGATGTGCGCGGGCTGGCGGGGGAGATTGCGTTTGTGTTCATGTGGGTTGGCTGCTCGGAGGGACTCGAGAAAGGCGCGCAGGTGAGCCCGCACACGCCTGATGCCGCCCTGTCAATACGCACGGCGGCACTGTGCACACCCTCTGTATGTGTGTGTGTGTGCATGGGTGTGTGTGTATGTGTGTGTGATCAACGTACGCAGTTTCGTTTGGCAGCGTGCCTTCATTATGCTTCATTTTCTAGAGCTTCTCCGCTCACAATGATACCGTCACCACCACCACCACCACCACCACCACCACCACCACCACCACCATAATCATCACCGCTGGCGACGCGTGCAGCTGCTGCGGCGATGGGGGTTTCGTCGGTGTGAGGACATATGTTGGGTGAAGACGAACAAACAGCAGCCGAGGCGGCGTGGGATTATGGAGCCGCACAGCCTTCTCCAACACACAAAGGTACAGTCTTGCTGTGTTCGCGCGTGTGTGTGCATGTGTGTGTACATGTGTGTATGCGATTGCTTTGGGAGGGGGCAGTTGCTGTGTGTGGTGTTTCCGTTGCTCAAGTTGACTGTCGTCACACTCACACACACACGGAAAACACGCATACATAATACACACACGCATAATACACACACACTGTGTGTCAAAGGAGCACTGCCTGCTTGGCATCCGCGGAGCTCCAAACCGGAAGACAGAGCCGCACATCCTGCACTCCAACATGGACGTGGATGTCATTGTGTCTGAGGATCCGCCCATCGAATCAACAGAGAAGCCGTCGGAGGTGTGTGCGCATGTACGCGTGTGTGAGAATGTGAAGTATGTGTGCACATGCATATGCACGTAACATGCGTGGACTAGCGTGTGCATGTTTGTACGTAGTTATGTGCAGGGGGGCTTGCACACGGTCACTAGCCAACTGCCCCTCCGTTGCCCCCGATACCACGCCAATCTTCTCTTTCTCCCACTGCACAGATCTTTGCTGTGATGGAGCGCATGTGTCAATCGAGGAAGCGGCTTCATCTCTTTGCATCGGGCACCGTCCGACCAGGTGATCCACGCTGTTTTGAGGCCGGTGGCGTTTGCGCGCGCGCGCGTGTGTGCGTGCGTGTGTGTGCATCTGTGTGTGTTCATGTGCATGTGTGTGCATCTGTGTGTACATCTATTTGTGTGTGCGTGTGTATGTGTGTGTGTGTGTGTGCGCCAGCGTTGCCACCAACGCCTTTCCCATCTCGCGCTCCCCCCCCCCAACAACTCATGCCCCACCTCCAACCACCAGGGTGGGTCGGTGTTGGCAAGGACCTGCCCCAGACCGATTATGATGCAGAGGCATACCTGAAGTACATGGAAGGCACAATTCAGCCGACAATTCAAGGTGCTTGCATTGCGTGTGTGTGTGCGTGCGTGCGTTTGAGGCTCCTGTGTTCTTTGCTCACGCGATGTTCTTCACACACGCACACACACACACATCTTCAGATCGGCCCGTTGCAGATAGCGGGCAGTCAAACGAATATGTGGGCACGTGGGAGAAGATTGAATGCCTGCGCCCAAAGGTACTGCAACCGCCTTGACGCTGCCGTTCAGCCCTGGATTGTCTGTTGTGCGCGCATCAAGTTGACACACACACACACACACACACACACACACACACACACACACACACACACACACACACACACACACACACACACACACACACACACAAACACACAAACACGCTCTGTCACCGTTCCACGCTTCAACCTCCCCCCCCCTCATTGTTCCTCACCATCACACCTCTTCCAAACTACACGCCACATTGCAGTCGCCCCCTCGCCACATGTCCAAGAAAAACAAACGGGGCAGGGGCTTCAGCAGCAGCAGCAGCAGCACTCGTGGTCGTGGTCGTGGCCGTGGCCGTGGCCGTGGTCGAGGCATGAGTCGTGGTGGTCGTGGTGGTCGCGGTATGGGACCTGGAAGGCGTGGAGGCTTGCACGGCTCGCCGCATACTTTCACTCCACCAAAGTCGCAGTGGGAAGTTTGACCGGCAGGATCATCATAAACGCGCATCAAACCGACCACCATTGTGATGATTTATTTTCTGTCTGTTGCTGTTGCTGTTGCTTGCTGCAGTTGTTGTCAACGACACGAGCAAGCAAGCAAGCGGCCTGCTTGTACAAACGCGCGCGGGCGCGCACGCACACAGAGAGATAGAGCACACACACACACACACACAGCAGAGCACACACACACACACACACACACTAACTCACACACCACCACCAAAACGCCTCACAAGCAAGAAGCCACAACAACAACACGGATCCCAACCCTTCGGTGCACCGAATTGGTGGCGAAGTCGTCCGCCTCGACCAACGGCGGTCGTTTCAAACCACACAACACCCGTCGCGAGTCAGGTACGCAAAGTTGGTTGCGTCACCGCCAACCACAACAACAACCACACCAACCCAAACATGCCGCATTCCTTCTGTTGAATGACGTGACGATGGCTGGGCTGGCCACCGGCTGTGTGTTGTTGAGTGCGTGTCAAGTGTGGTGAAGTGAGGGCCTGACACGCATTACATGAGCACACGTCCACTCACATTCACTCACTTTCTTGACGCACACACACACACGCCACCAATCAACCAACCAACCAACCAACCGACTGATACCGCCACCTTACCGACCATCCACCTGGTCGATCGGTGTTGTTGCTTGTTGTTGGTGCTGTTGGTGAGGGTAGCTACAGCAAGAGGACAATGCTGTCACGCAAGGGGGGAAGGCCCGCCACGGTGCCAACGGCGCTTCTCGCCAACACCAAGGCTGCCAACCCTCCCTCCCTCACCCGACACCCAATGCAACACGCCGGTAAGCAAGCCACACACAATCACCACACAGACACACACCCCACACACGCACCACAACAACAACCACACCAGGGCGCTGCACACAGCTCCTCAAGCACCCAACAGCACACTGGTTGGGAAGCCTCCACTACAGCATCGACGAAGCAATGCGAGGAAGGAATGCCCGCTGAGGACGAGGAGGGGGAACAGCAAGAGGAGGTAAAGGGGATGGAAGAGAAGTCACACAACACAACACAACGGTCCCAGCTCCAACCACAAGAGCAGCAGCAACAGCAGCAACAGCAGCAGATAAAACTGCAGCACATGACAAGGTCGAAGCAAGCCATTACAATCAGCGACAAGTCCAGCAACACCAACGCTAGCACCGAGGCGACAGCACCACAGGTCCCTGTGCCAAACACAATGTACCAAATGGAACAACAGCAGAGCCAAGCCGTCGGCGTCAACGAGCAAGCCGCAAGCACGCGGCTTGTCCGTGATGACACCGCCAGCAACACCCAGGCCAACGATGATGATAACAGCACTCAGAGTGAAGATGACGATGGCCCCGCCACACCGGCGACACCCACAAGCCCATCCTCCATCGGCAGCGAGCCGGACACCGAGAGCGAACAGTCAATCGAAGAACCGCAGCCACCAAGCGGCCCGCATGCCCATCATCATCAGCAGCAACAAGAATGGCAACAACAACATCAACAACAGCCGCAGCCGCAGCAGCAGCCACATCATCAGCGCGGCCGCCGCCCATCCGAGAAGCGACGCGCCCCGCCAACAGCGGAGGAGCACTTGAGCCAGAGCCCGGCCATCCACGGCGTGCCGACGCTGGCCAAGATGTTCTTTGGCGATGACGCGCCAACATGGTCGCGGCGGCGCGCTGTCGACCGCCTCTCGTCCCATCTCGTCCAGGCCATCATCGAAGAGGAGGAGGAAGAAGAGGGAGAGGAAAGCGCCACTGAACAACAACAACAACAACAACAACAACAACAACAACAAGAGGACCGCATCCCTGAACACGAAGAAGAGCAAGACAGAGACGTCGCCCGACAAGAACAGCACCAACAACCACCAGCGCAAGAGCATCAGGGTCAACAGCAACAGCCGGCAGAAGCAGAGCAAAGGCAGGTGGATGTAAGTGCTGGTCGCAGACACAACTGCGCAGATCCGTCACAGCTACCGCCACCATCGACATCAGCAACACCAGCAACAGGCACATCAGCACGGTCGCGCCCGCGTCGCTTCACAGCGCCAGGACCAGGCTGCACCAGCTCCCCCTTCCAACGACGCCTCCACAAGAAGCCGCGCCGCGCATCCCCACTTGCGCAGGAGATGGCTGCTTGCATGCATGCATCCACAGCGGAAACCACCACCCCATCAACGACAGCAACAGCCACCACACAGAATACGGCCGCTGACACGAGTGATGACGATGCTGCTGCCACGAATGCTCAAGCTGATGCTATCCGCGTGGTTGCAAGCAACAGCCGTCCACGCATGCTTCCGACTCCCCCACCGCCTGATGGTCACTCGCACATGCGTAATCTCCACGTCCACGCCAGGCCCGCGCACGACTTGACCCAAAACACCACGGATGCTGGTTCTAGCGACTACGACAGCAGCAAGCACCTGGAGCAACAACGAAACCAGGGCGACGACAAGATGCAACTACAACAGTGTGACCACACTCTTGATGGTTGTGATGCCGTTGATCGTGATGACGCTGATGATCGTGATGATGATGATGATGATGATGATGGTGATGGTGATGGTAATGGTGATGATGACACTACGGCAGCTAGTGACGATGATGACGATAATGGCAATGAGAGTACTGACGATACCAGCGGCAGCATTAGCAATAACGCCAGCACCGATGCAGCAGACTCACCAACTTTTCACCACAGTCGCACCGCACACAACAGCACGCACAACAGCACGCACAACAACACGTACAACAACAACACACACAACACACCCACCACATCACCATCACTCCGTCGTCGTTCTTCTGCGTGTGTTTGCATGTGTTCCATGTCATGCGCGTGTGCGGGCAGAAGGAGACAATCCTCCGTTGCTTCAATCATGCAAACCATGAGTCGTCATCTGTCTGTGCTTGACAAGGCATTAGCCTGCGAAATCTATGGCGTGAGTGTGCTGTGTGGCAGGTGCAGTACCTGTATCATCCGCGCCATGCTCAACACGTGCGACACGTGGTTTGCGGGCCACATGTCCCCTGCGGAGCAGTGCAAGTTCCTGATTCGCCTTCTCAAGCGCGCCGCGCCATCCTTCCTCGAGTACGCCAGCGTCCTCATCTCGCCGCTCACCAACCGGGACGTCCTGTACACCGTTGGCAATCGCACCTCCGCCACCAACGATGCCCGCCAAGCCATGGCCATGGGGTACATGCGACGCCACAGCTCAGCCATGCGCCCGCTCTCCAGCCACAGCACGCACTCTCGCCGACGAAACACAGCCAGCGAGTGGTCGTCCATCTTTGGGGCGGCAACAGCGACGGCACCAACGACCACCGCCACCACTTCTACAGCGGGCGGTGGCATCAGTGAGAGGAGCATGGACGGGGCTGGTGGCGGCGGCCGAACGCGTCGCCGTACGTCACACATGCACAGCCGGCAGTCCCGTTCGCGCCCGCGCAACAGCAGCTCCTTTGCCTCGCATAACAACAACAACAGCAGCAGCAGCAGCAGCAACAACAACAACAACAACAACAGCAGCAGCAACGACAGCAGCGCGCACGAGGGTGTTGGTCTTGGCCACTCACCTCACCACCACCACCACCATCACCACCGCCACTCCCATCGTTCAAGCACTGGCAGCCGGGGACGCAGAGGAACGGAGAGCAATTGGAGTGCCGACAGCAACAGCAGCACTGGTAGTGATGCATTTGGGCTGATGGCTGCTGGTGTTGGCCTGGCGCCCCTGGATATGTTTGATGAAGAGGAAGAGGATGTGCTCATGGAATCGCAAGACAGCATCAGCTTCAGCCACAGCACTGATCACAAGCACACCCAAGGCCACACGCAGCAGCGCACCGACTGCCACGACATTGCAGATCGCAACGCCGCAGATGATTGGAGCAGCAACGACAGCAGCGGCAACAGCAACAACAGCAGCAGTGGTGGATATGCCAACGAACTCGACATGATGCACGGCCCTCAACATACAATTGCCATGCAATCTCAGGCGTCGTCATCACCATCACTTCACCTCACGCGGCGCAAGCAGCCATCGCCCATGCAACGGCGCTCCCTCAGCCACAACAGCGGGATCGGGCTCTACACCAACCACACGCCCGCTTTCCACGACAAGGTGGCAACAGCGGCAGCAATTGCATCAGCCGAAACGGTGGGGGCACCGACAGCAGAGGGTGCGGTGGCCGAGCGCCCGCGCAAATTGGCGCGTGAGGTGGATGATGCCAAGCTGTGGCACGTTCATCCGTCCTCACCATTGTCGTCACTGTCATCCTCCCTCCCATTGCCATCAACCCTCAGCGCTGACACGCGCCAACACCCCCACCACCACCACCACCAACAACAGCAGCCGCGCCATGTTCACATCGCGCAGCAGCCCACTACGGACTCGATCAGCTCGCGTTCGTCGTTTCAACGTCACCTGCCCACGCGCAGGCCCGCCACCGTTGCTGGGGATCGCGTGACGCAATCAGCAGCCTGCAGCCAACCATCCACGGGGAGTCGAGACCGTCTGCTCGCAGCAGCGCGTGGCGGTGATGGCGGGGAAGGCGAGGGTGAAGCGAGTGAGGCAAAGGTGCTGCTGGAGTGGTTTGAGACGGCAAGCGATTGGCACAGGCTGATCGTTCTTCGCCATCTGCTCGGGTTCTCTGATGTGCGCACCATCAAACCCGTCCTCGACTACATCTCCTCGAGCTCCGGGAAACACACGCGCTCAAGCACTGCCTCCACATCAGCAGTGGCAACAGCCACCGTGGGTGGTGGCCGAGGTGGTGGTGACGGCAGGGACGAGAGTGAGGCAGCCAGCAGCAGCGGCAGCAAGATCAGCGCTGCGGGAGGCATTGCCAGAAGCAAGAGCCGCACAAACGTGAGCATTGTTGGGGCGGGTGGCGAAAAGATGGACATTATCGCCAAGCTGCCGTCTCCGCTTGCAAAGTTCATTCTCAGCCAGCTCGACTTCAACACGCTGACGCGCGCGTCCCGCGTCTCCCCGACGTGGCGCGCTCTCTCCAAACAAGTCATGGCAGACCAGGTACGGGCGGGGTTTCCTCTCTCTCTCTGTGTGTGTGTGTGTGTGTGTGTGTGTGTGTGTGTGTGTGTGTGTGTGTGTGTGTGTGTGTGTGTGTGTCTGTGTGTGTCTGTGTGTGTATGTGTGTGCTTTTGTTTGCTTTTGTATGTGTGTGCACGTGTGTGTGAGTGTGTGTGTGTGTGTGTGTGTGTGTCCAATTCTCGTTGAGTACGTTGTCGCTGTGTCCACTCTTGTGGCGTGTCTGGTACTGCCTCTCACAATGCACACATTTCTCCGCACAAAAACACTAACACCCCCCCCCACACACACACACACGAACACACAAACACACACACAACACATGAGTAGGTTCACAGCCAGGATGCGCGGGATTTGTTGATGGACATGCACAAGTCGTCAGCAGGCAGCCGCCACCCGGTTGCCGTTGAGATTCCGTACGCGACAGAGGACGGTCTGAAGATGCTTCAACTCACGGAGCAGAACGTCTTCTGTGGACCTTCGAGCGTCATCATGTGCGATGGCATGGACGACACGCGCGTGGTTGGGTATGCCGGCGGTGACATTGCTGTGACGGGGTCTGCCGACAAGCTGCTTCGGTTCTACGACATCCACACCGGGTTTGTCGTGGCCAAGGTCTCTGGGCACGCGGGCAGCATTCGCAGCGTGGCTGTCAGCCCAACCTTCAACATTGTCCTCTCCGGCAGCTACGACTCCTCTGCGCGGGTGTGGGACTTGACCACGCGTAAGTGCCTGGGCATCCTACGCGGGCACAAGTCGACGGTGACGGCCGTGCACGTGGACGACGACAGCGGGACAGCGGCCACGGGCTCACGGGACCGCCGGTTTATTGTGTGGGACGCGCCGTCACGCCAGATGCTCAAGAGCATGGCCACCGCAAGCAGCGTCACCAGCGTGTACGCAGGCTGCGGGTATGCGTGCTGTGGCATGCAGGAGGGCGAGGTGTTGGTGGTGCACGTGGACACGCACCGGAAGGTGAAGAGCCTCAAGGCGCACGATGGTGTTGTGCACGCGGTTGCTGTCGACGCGTACTTCTTTGTCAGCGGCGGCGAGGACGGCATTGCGCACCTGTGGAGCCTGCAGCCCTGCACATCGGAGCCCGTCACGTCCTTTCGCCACGTGTCGGCAGTCACCTCCGCGCACATGATGCAGTGCCGCACCATCACGGGGTGCGACGATGGCAAGATTCGCATCTGGAACAACCTTGACGGCTCGTGCATCAAGATCTTCCGGGGCAACTCCGCCAGCAGGCCCGTTCGCCACCTGTGCCTGCACGGTGGGACAACCATGGTGGTGAACACAACCACCACCATGCACTTTCAGCTGTTTGCCTCCAGCAGCGATGAAGAGGATGAGGACGCGGATGCCGAGGGTCACGGTGAGGGTGTCGGTTTACACGGGCGGAACAGTCGGCCTTCGTCTCGTCACAGCAGCGCGCGTCGCAAGAAGAGCACGGATGTGTCATCGCGACCAGTGTCGCGCGGTGGCCGCAGCAGCCGCGGCAGCGCCAGCAGGCCAGGGACGGCGCGTGCCGAGAGCGCGCTTGTCCGCCAGCGGTCGCGGCCAACTACAGCGGCATCCCGACCAGGATCACGTGCAGCATCCCGACCAGGATCACATGCAGCTTCCCGACCAGGATCACGTGCAGCTTCGAGGCAAGGGTCACGACGGCAACGCAGTGCTCGCGAGGGGAGCAGACGAGATGGCGCAACATCGCCTGCGGATGGGGCCATCGGTGGCAGAAGCACGTCACCAAACGCGTGGGTTGAGAGGCGGCAGCGGCCGAGTCAGTCTGACATTCCACTGCCAAGCATTTTACAGGAGACGTTGCTTGCAGGCATGCGGCCAGCACACGTGCGCCCGCCCTCACGCGACCCCAGCAACAGCGCGTCGTGGCTCATGTCATCACCAATGGTGACCAACGGCGCCAACAGCAGCAGCGGCAATGGCAGCACTGGCAGGAGAAGGAGCGGTCGCGTCGTTGTTGGTGCTGACCCTGCCAGTATCGATGCCAGCTTGCACCGTGGTGCCCTGCACCGATCACCGTCGCCACAGCGACCCCCACACGCGAGGCACGGCCACAGCACCAGCCCCTCAACAGGGCGCAGCACCCCTGCGCACAGCAGAGACCACCAGCACCACGGCGGCGTTGTTGGCCACCACGTGAGGTTTGCACACCGGCCTAAGCGCTCCGTCTCCGTTGGGGACTTCCACCACGCCGACCCCGCATGCTCTGGGAGCGGTGATGGCGGCGGTGATGGGGATATGCGCCGGTCGGTGGAGCTGAGCGAATCGCTGCAACGCATGCGGTTTGGGCGGCAGTTCCCAGGGCAGTGGCGCACGTTGATGAAGGTGCCGGAGCTCGCTGCAAGCTTGCACGCAACCACATGACGCACTGCGAGGATGTGGCGTGATGATGTCGTTCGGGAATGTGATGAGATGAGATGTGTTGAGAGGGTGTAGTGATTTGGTGTGACATGTGACATGCGACGCAATGGCATGCTCACGGATGTGGTTTGAGGATGCGATGAGAAGAGCTGTGTTGGGATGCGACAGCTTGCTTGCCCTTGCACACGTGCTAAGCTGGTTGATGGTGATGTGTATGGTCGAGAGGCTGAGAGGGTGTATGTTCCGGCCTTGCTTGCTCTCTTGCTGACCTACTTGCTGACTTGCTGACTTGCTGACTTGCTGACTTGATTGCGATGTTGATTCCGCCCATCTTGTTGATTGCATGTACCTTGGGCTGCTTCTTGCTTGGTCACATCACATCACACACTTCTTCTTGCTTGTTTGTATCCCTGTCAATCAACACATGTCGTCACGTTGCTCAGCCGGTCAAACGTCACACCAGCAAAAGCCACAGCAGCAAACCAACAAACAAGCAGCACACGCCTCAACCACTCACCGACCACGTGATCGTCCACTGACCCACTGCAAGAAGAAGAACAAGTAGAAGCAGCATGGATGGCGACAGCGGTGCGTTGCTGCCGCAGCTGGAAGGGCCGGCGCGGTTTGCGGCGTTTGTGGCCATGGGCTTGCTGACAGGCGCCATCATCACGTGCATCTCCCGGCTGTTGTTTGGCCGATGCATCCTCTCCTCCAGCGGTGACGAGTGCAGCGACGACCCCATCCAGCATGGGCCCAGCGGTGACGGTAGTGATGGTGAGCGGATTCACCTTCATCGCCGGCGGCGCCGCACGACGCGCAGCGCAGCAAGCCCAGCAAGCCCAGCAAGATAGCACGCGCAGCAACCTGGCAAGCACAGCAAGCAGCCTGCCCAGTGCGATGGCATCAAAGTGTGAGCACCTTGAGGGAGGGGAGACGGGGAAGGCAGGGAAGCACATAGCAGCCACCCCAACACTGACAGCGTGCTCGCCCACTCATGACCACTACTTCCACGAGCAGTTTCAAGAGCACTCGCTCCATCGCCGTCGCTCGGTGGCAGCAGCAGCTGTCACAGCAGGAGCGATCAAGACCCGCAGTCGCACCGCAGCTGCCTCGCCTGTTGCTCTCTGGTCCAAGGCCTCTGTGCCGAGGAGAAGCACAGACGTGGTGGCAAGCCATGACAGCAATGCCACATATCTGTGTGTGCGTGTGTGTGCGTCCTGTGCTATGATTACGCATCTCAGCAAGCGGGGATGTGCCGGGTACCACAGCTCCACAACTCCCCACTGTGTTGCATGCGTGTGCTTATTCCACTCCCATGCAACACTTCCGCGCATCTGCGCCCTCTCTGCTTTATCCACAGCATCCCTCTGTTTCGTTCCACTCGCCATTAAACGTTACCCCCTGACCGTCATGTCGTTCATGTACATCGACCCTACACGCGAGCATAGACACACAGAAACAAGTCGACAGGCAGACACACACACACACACACACACACACACACACATTCAGGTTGCTTCGTGCTTCGCATCTGCCTTCTTGCCCTTCTTGCTCATGCTGCTGTTCTTATCCTTCTTCTTCTTCTTGCTCTTACTCTTCTTCTTCTTCTGCTTGGTCGTCATCATCGTCTCTACCGCCACCGCCGCCGTTGTCGCCGCCGCTGCCGCTGCCTTGCTGTTGCCACCCCCAACAATCTTATCTCCGTCTGTCTTCTTGTCTTCAGCCCCTTGCTTGTCCTTTGTGTGCATCTTCTTCTTCTTCTTCTTCTGCTGCTGCTGCTTCGTCTGCTTCTGCTGCTGTTGTTGTTGTTTCTTTCTGATCCGTCTCTTGCCCTTCGCAGCCTTCCCGTTCCCCTCAGCGGCGTCACCACGACTGTCCCCACCGACACTCGCCTCCACACACACTGCTGGTGTCACCATCATCACCTTCGCCTTCTTTGTTGCCTGCTCACCACCTTCATCGGCGCCACCATCGGCACCACCATCGCCGTCACCACCACCTCGCTTCCGTGATGCCGTTTCATCTTGGGTCGTCGTCTTCTTCTTCTCCCGCATGCGCTTCTGCCACCATCGTTCCTTCTTCTTCGTCATCTTTGCCTTCTTCGTAGCGTTTGTTGCCCCATTCTCTTGTTGCTGCTGCTGCTGTTGCTGTTGAGCACTTGCATCATCGCCATCACTTCCGCTTGTGTGGCCCTTCTCAGCTGCCTTCGTTTGCTCGCCCTCATGCGGCCTCCCCTTGCCTTTGCTCTTCTTCTTGCTCTTCTTCTTGCTCTGCTTCGGCTCCCCGCCCTGAACATCTCCACCGCTCACGCCACCACCATCTCCAGCGTCATAGTCACGGTTCCCTTTCTTCCCCTCACCACCACCATTGCCACTGCCACTGACATTCGCCCCGCTTTGAGGCGCCTTCTTCGTCTTGCCTGATCGTCTGCGCGTGCTGTCCTTTGCGTCCTTGAAGTTGTCTGGCAAGTAGAACGACTTGACGGCCACGCCCACGTGCGGTCGCGACGACAGCAGGCCCTGCTGCACCTTCTCAAACACCCGCTGCTGGTGCTCGCGCAGGTTGCAGAACCAGAACGTGACAAAGGGGCTGGTCTTGAGCTGCTTCTTCCGCTGCACGTCACCGCGCATCGTGGCTGGCGCCTGGTACACGTACGCGCGCGGGGTGCCCGGGATCACGTAAAACGGCTGCGGGTGATGTTTGCGCACAAGAGCGTGCCAAGGCCCCTTCGTGTACACGTAGTTGGGCTGCACCACGAGCCACGGCTTGGGTTGGCTGTACAGGAACCGGGCCAGCTTGAGCACGTGGTTCACCGGCACGGACGAGTACGGCGGGTTGGTGACGACCACGTCAAAGTCCGGGCTGGCAGCCTTCTTCTCCGCAACACTGTAAAAGTCCTCTGGCTTGTTGTACACGGACGTGAAGCCGAGCCGCGCCAGGTGCACGCGAATGCCGCCCGCACAGTAGTATGGGTCGTAGATGCGCAGCGCCGCGCGCTCCTTGCCCAGTGCCTGGCACAGCTCCTCCAGAATCGGCTCAATGTCTCGCACGGCGTCCAGGGGCGTCTCGCAGTGGTCTGCGTCCTCGCACTGCCACTGCCGCTCCGGAACCAAGCCTGGCACAAACAACTTCCCGGCCTTCCACACACCAGCCTCCACCAGCTGACCCTCATCATCCCGCGTCCCAAAGTACGCCGTCCCTGTTCGGTCATCCACCAAAAACAGCTCCCCGCTCTCTGTGAACACCCCACGCACCTGCTCTTCTTCTTCTTCTTCTTCTTCTTCCTCCTCTTCTTCTTCTTGGCCGCTCTCGCCACTGCCGTCGTCATCGTCGTCATCTCCGCTGCTATCCATGCTGCTGCCGTTGTTGTTGTCGTTGTTGTTGTTGTTACCCTCATCAACACCATCACCATCACTATCCGTGCTGTCGCTGGTGTCTGCACCAGTGTTGCTTGTGGCTGCTGCTGCTGCTGCTGCTGCTGTTGTGGAGGCTGCATCCAAGGCTGTCGTCGTCGTCACAGGGTTCGGTTGGGGCCGTTCGAGGGCTTCCTTCATCCCAGTGTCGATGTACCCTTGCCAGCAGTCATTGCAGAACGAGCCAACCCACTCCACGTGCTCCCGCCGCCCGCACTCCCCACAAACCACACCCATTCTCGTCCGTGTGCACCACGCACGTTGTTGTCTTCTCTTCCGCGCCTTCCGCCGAAACTCGTTAGAAAATATCCACCACTCTTCCCAACTTCAGTCGCGGCTGAGCGTGATGTGAACGTCGCGGCCTGATGTGAATGGTGACAATGGCGGACGGCGGCGATGATGATGAGGGTGGTAACCTGCGCAGGCCTCCTCTGCCACACCAAGACGAGCAGCAACAGCAGCAGGCTCAGTCAGGAGAGCATGCTGGTCGCGGTTGTTGCGACGGAGAGGCTGTCATTCCAGCACTGAACAGCATCGGGGAGGAGCCCGTGTGCCTGCTGCAGCTGCAAGAGTGCCTCCGATTGTTGGCAGAGACTGAGCCACGGTGCTTGGGCCGCCAGGACCTGTTGGACACGTGCGTGCATCACTTCTTCGCTCGCATCATCTTGCCAAGCATGACACGCTTCGAGGCCGTTCTCAACACGACTCTGACGATCAACACTGACAACGCTGCTGTTCTTCGTCACTGGCAAAGTATCGTCCTCCTCTCTTCCAAGATGGCGCACCTGGCCAGAGTTGCTTCACATCACGTGGTCAGTCAATCAGTGGAGCGTAAACGCTTGGCTTCTTTGCTGTATCGTGGAGCTGTTTGGTTGTTGGATACAAGGCTACCTCTGTGTGAACGTGTGTGTGTGCGTGTGCGTGTGCGTGTGCGTGTGCGTGAATGTGTGTCTGTGTGTCTGTGTGTGTGTGTGTGCGTGCGCTTGTGTGTGTGTGTGCGTGCGTGTGCTTGTGTGTGTGTGTGTGTGCGTGTGTGTGCGTGTGCTTGTGTGTGTGCGTGCGCTTGTGAATGTTGTGTGAGATTGGTGCTGTTGTCACCTTTGCCCATCTTTGATTGTCTTTCGTGATCGCTGCACATTCTCATGCAGGTTATGCGGCTGCTGGAGCATCTTGCCACCACACAACATGACTCATCTGCACTTGGCGCTTCGAGTCCACGTGCCCAGCGAACCCGACAGCAGTCTCCACAGCCAACGTCGCAGCCAAACCCACAGCCAACGTCGCAACCACGTTCGCAATCAACATTGTGGCCAGCTCCTCATCGGTGCACGGGACGAAGACAGCAGGCCGCGCAGCATCAACAGCCTCACGTTGCCAGCATGGTTCTGGCGTGGATGTACATGGACGCTGCTGTTGCATTTGCCAAGCGCCTGGAAAACACGGGTCAACACCACGTCCTGCCAACACCAAAGCGCAGCAAAGAGCACGAGCGCTGTCCGTACAATTTACCTGCGCGCCCTCCGCCCATTCCGTACCCGACCAGCGCCCGTGACCTTCTTCTACCACGTCCACATCCCCACGACTCGCCTTCCTTCCACCACGTGCTCGGGCAGTGCATTGCACACGTGCGACCGAGCGGCTGGATTGGCACACGCGCGCTGCCACAGCTCTTTGAGTCGTACTCCTGGTCACTGGCGCGTCTCCTCAAATGGTCGCTTCGCTGCACGCCAATCCCGCCACACTACAGATCCACAGCTTCCAACACCAAACCAGGCGGTACTGCCGCTCCTGCTGATTGCAACAGCCACATAACCACGGCGATGACGAGTGTGGCCACCACACACGAGTGCACGTGTCATCCCGTGCTGACGATGATGGCAGCAGAGCAGCGCTGGCTGCATGTGCGTTCGATGGCAGTGCAGTCGTTTGTCTCGCCAAATGGCGGTGCCGCTGCGTGCAAATGGCTCAGTTGCTTCATCGCCTGTGTTTATCAATGCACGAACAGCACTATGCTGCGACAGCGGCACAGTTCACAGACACAACAACCTTGTTTCGGTGGCACTGGTGGTGGTGGTGTGTGCGCGTGCGAGCACGCTGCCCTTGCGGCTGCATGCGAGTTCCTGCTGCAGTCTATGACCGCCTTTGTCGCCCGTCCAGCACAACAACAACAACAACAACAACAGCAACAACAACAACAACAACAACAACAACAACAACAACAACAACAACAACAACGACGACGACAACAACAACAACAACAACAACAACAACAACAACAACAACAACAACAACAACAACGGTGTGAGCTGTTGTTCAAATGCTGTCCTGAGACGGAAGCACGAGAGCAGGCGGCGAAACTCAAACGAAAACTGCTGCTGTTGTGGATTACATGTGTGCGCGCTGTCATTGTGAGTGCACCATGGCAAGGCCGAGAGCAAGGCGATGAGGGCCACAACGCCACCAGACCCTCTCCCTCCACCATCGTGTCGACTATGCATGACGCAATGCCCGCCTTGCTGTCCTTGGTGGGTGCAGAGCACAGAACACGCCGGCACAACGACGAGCACAAGGATGATGATGATGATGACGATGATGATGATGGTTGTGGTGGTGACCTCCAGCAAGGCCTTGGCTGCACACATCGAGTTGAAAGCGGGAAGACACCATGCACAGCTGCAGCACACACAAAGGCACCATACTCAACGGCGCCAAATATGACAGAGGCGATGGTGCGGCTCATGTGCGATGATGATGACGACTTGGTTCGGTTCTGCTATCGAGCACTCGACGTGTACAAGCATCTGCAGCCGTCTCGTCGACAACAAACGCCGTTGGGGTCAGGGACGACACCAGGGCAAGCAGCACCATGTCTGTCATGTGCAGGAGAGAAGCAAGGCGAAGATGCGCTGCACATGCACACGCAACGGCTGCTCTATCCCCCGCGCATGTTTGCAGCGTTTCTTCGTGCTGCGGGCGTGTTTCACAGTGCTGGAGACAACGATGATGATGACAATGATGATGATGATGATGATGATGATGATGATGATGATGAGCTGGCGAGAAGGCGCGTTGTTCGCCGTAATGGGAGGCGCGGGACGCATTATACTGCTGCCACATCATGCGATGTGTCGTTGCTGATGGAGTGGCTGGCGTGTGGTGAAACGCTCTTTCGTGAGTATTTGGTGCAGTTTCTGGTTTGGCTTTGTCAGCATCTCTCTGACCGCACACGAACACATCCACAAGCACATGGACGAGAGGCAGCAGCGGCAACTGCAACATCAACAACAGTGACAGCCACAGTCACAGAATCAACCTCAACCTCACGCAGTCACTTGCTGGACGTGTACACGGATGATGATGATGATGATGATGATGATGATGATGATGATGATGATGATGATGATGATGATGATGATGATGATGATGATGATGATGATGATGATGATGATGACGATGATAATGACAATGGAAGGGACGGTGACAACGATGGCAACGCGGTTGCTTCCGGCAGTCGACCGCCACCTGCTTCAACTTTTCACCAGCAGCACCACGCGCCGCAGCACCACACGCAGCAGAACACACCATCAACGCCCCACTGTGACACTCAGCTGCACCATACTGTCTCACTCATCCGCCCAGCCCTAGTCTCGCTCCTGTCAGCCATCATCACCTCAGAGATGCAGCAGCTTGGTGTCCTTCCATTCAACTCCGCACCGCTTCTTCGGCGTCTGCGTACCACCCTCACACTGATCGACCTCACGCTCCCACAGGCGTGATGTATCTGTGTGTGTCTGTTTGTCTGTCTGTCTGTCTGTCTGCGTATGTGCGTGTGTGTCTGTATGTATGTCTGTGTGTGTGTGTTTGTCTGTGTGTGTCTGTGTGTGTGTGTCTGTGCGTGTGTGTCTGTATGTATGTCTGTGTGTGTGTTTGTCTGTGTGTGTGTCTGTCTGTCTGTGCGTGCGTGTGTGTGTGTGTGTAACTGTGTCTTTCTCGCGAAAGTATTTGTGCGGCTTTGCTTTTCCTGGCACATGACCATTTCCTGATACATAACCACTGGTCAGTTTGAGCGAACACTGGTCTGTCTCTCTATTGTTGTTGCTAACGAACACGGTAAACGCATTTGTACAAAGAGCTAGTCGACTCAGACGAACAATGTCAATGTGAGAACATGCACACACAAACATGCGTGCCACGAACACGTCAACATACACACACACACACACGCGCGCACACAGACCCGGTGCTCGCCGGCCTTGGCCTGTGCTGGCTATTGCTTGTGCTGTTGATGGTGTTCTTCCTCTTCTGCCCTCTCTCCTCCCTGTTCTTCTTGACGTTCCTGCTGTTGCTGCTGCTGGGCAAGAAAGCCGAGCGACGTCGTCAAGTTGGCCAAGAACGGCTTGCTCGCGTTCTGCACGCGGGATTGCAGTGATGACAGCGCACCAAACAGTTCATCCGCCGTTCTGCGGCCACTCGTTGCGGCGTCGTGGCCATCGCCATCACCACCACTGGCATCGTCGTCATCGCTGTTGTCGTCCTCGTCCGCAAAGAGATCCCGCCGCTGCTCGGGCGAAAACTCGAGGACAGACGCAATGATGTGCGCAACCTCCTGCACACACACACACATACACATACACATGCACGCATGCACACGTCGCCAGCGGGGACAACATCAGCGGGATTGGAGACAAGCAGACATTCAGCAGACTCTCACACATCGCCAACGCAGGCAAGAAATGCCATGCGCATGTGCACACGAGACACAACATTCGCACAAGCACAAGTACACACACACACACAAGTACACACACACACACACACACACACACTCACACTCACACACTCACGTCTGCGTGGATTCCCATCATGTACTGATACACGACATTGCGAAGGTAATCGATGTCGACCGCAGAGCCATCAGCATGTGCTGTCGGCGGTGGTGCTGGTTTTGATGAAGAGGTGGCGGTTGCTTGTGCGGCTTCTTCCTGTTCGGCCCGTTGCGGCGCCTGTTGTTGCTGTAGTTGCAGTGGCAGGCAAAGGGTCAAGTGTTGGGGCAAAGAACGCATGAGCAACGGGAAACAGGAAAAGGAGAGAGAAGGAGAGAGATGACAGTTGAAATACACACACGCACACACACGCACACACAAAAAACAAACAAACAAACAAACAAACAAAACAAACAAACAAACAAAACAAACAAAACAAACAAAACAAACAAAACAAACAAAACAAACAAACGAGCACGAGCACACCTTCGCAGCTGAGAGCTGTTCTTGTAGCGTGGCCACCTCCTGCCTCAGCGCTGCCAGTTTTTCGTCGTGCCACCGCTGCATCTCAGCCAGCTTCGCGTCGTGCTTCTCCTGCTCGTGTAAGCGCATGTCCTTCTCGTTATCGGCCCGTCGGTGCTGATCTTCCGCGTGCTCTCTGATGACCTTCAAGTCTCGCCGAACCGCCTCCATCTCCTCCTCGTGTGCCAGCGCCGACGCAGCTGCAGCGGACGCAGCAAACCGCTCTCGCTCAAGTTTCAGCTGCTCCTGAAACTGTACCAAATCCCGTTCCAACGCCATAATCTTCGCCCGTTTCGCTTGAATTACTCTCTTCAAGTCATCATTCTCCGTCGACAGCGCTTTCGTCTTCGCTTCAAGCGCCGCCACTTGCTCCTGCACATCGCTCGCGGCTGCGGATGACTCATCAGCTGCCGCTGCCAGCTGCGCCCGCTCCACCTCCCACTCCTTCTCACGCTCGTCCTTCTCAACCTCAAGCTGCGTCACCGTTGTCCGCAGCTCCTCCAGCACCAGGTCGACGTTGCTGTACTTCTGCTTCATGTCCGCACATGTTTTCTCGCTTGCTTCCAGCGCCGCCTGCAGCTGCTCCGTCTCCTCCTCAAACTCCTTCTGAAGTTCATCCGCGTCCACCTTCGCCTCCAAAAGCTGCTGTCTCACTGCGCGCCCTTCCTCCTCCAGCATCTCCACGCGCGATTTTGCTTCCCCCTCCCGCTCCTTCGCCTCCCGTGCCGTCGCCGACAACTCTTCAGTTTCAGATTGAAGGATCTCCATTTCCTCGCGCAACGCCTGCATCTCTTCAAGCAGCTCCTGCTTCCGCTCGTCTGCACGCGCTTGCACCTCCTCCTTCTCCTTCACCAGCTGCTCCACACGCGCTGTGAGCTCCTCCACTTCACCCCGTGCTGTTGCCCCTGCGTTCTCGGCATGCTGTCTTGCATCATCAAGCGCTGCTTGAAGGTCGTTGCGCTCCTTCGTCACACGTTTCGCCCGCTGCTTCAGTTTCGTGAACGATTCATGGGCACGCTGCAACTCTGCTGTGCGCTGCTCGGCCACTTGCTTCCAATCCTCCATTTCCGCTCGCACGCGCTCAAGGGCTTCTGTCGCTTCGTCGGCTTCCCGCCTCGCTGCGTCTCTCTCCAGATCTTCGCCTTCTACTTGTTCCTGCAGCGTCGCAAGCCTTGCGTTGACCTCGCCAAGCTGTTCCCGCAAGCTCGCTGCCTCGCTCCTTGCTTCCTCCAGCTGGCTCTGCGATCCACTCTCGACCTCACTCAGGGCCGCCTTCATCTCATCCACCGCCGCCGACAACCTTTCCACTTCCGTCTGCAGTGCGTCTCTCTTCTCGCAAACGTGCTGCTTCTCCGCTTCCGCTTTCGCAAGTTGCTCTTTGATGCCCTCAAGCTCTGCCTGCAAGCACGTCATGGCCTCCTCGTGCGCTTCTTGCGCCGTGCGTGTGTCCGCCGCTGCCGCATCAAGCTCACCGCGCAGCACCTGCACATCCTGCTCCAGGGCCTCTGCCTTCTTCGCGCCAGCCACCAGCGACTTTGCCTTTGCACGCAACTTCGTAAACCGCACGTGCGCTTCTTGCAGTTCAGCCTCTCTGCTTGCAAGCAACGACGTCAGTTCGTCCACTCGTGCAGACAACGCCACACTCTGGTCGCTCTCCGCCGCGTGTTGCTGTGCCGTCTCAACCTGCACACGCAGCGAGTCAGCTTCTTCCTCCACAGCAGCCAAGCGCGTTTGCGCGGCCACCAGTTGCTCTTCCTTCTCGGTCGCAGCAGCCTCTGCGGAATCGGCGCGTTTCGCATGCGTGTCCATGTCCTCTTGCATCGCCTGTGCGGACACTGCGTGGTCGGCGCGCTCCTGCTCAAGCTGCAGTTGAAGCTCGTCACACTTTGCAGATGCTGTGGCAAGGTGTTGTTCGAGCTCATCCATGCGTGCTCCGGCCGCCTTGTCCTGTGCGGCCCTGTTGTCACGCAATTGTTGTAATTCACCACTGAGCTGTTTGGTGCGCTCGCGTTCGGCTGCCACCTCCTGTTGCGCTGCAGTCCACCGCTCCTTGAGCTGCCGCGCCTTGGCAAGAAGACGATCGTACTTCTGTTGAAGTGCAGACTCGTTCGCCTGAGAAGACGCGTTCAGCTGTTGCTCAAGCTGGGTCCTGCTCTCGCTCACCTCATTCAGCTGTTGCTCAAGCTGGGTCCTGCTCTCGCTCACCTCATTCAGTTGTTGCTCAAGCTCAGCGATGCGTGTGTTGGCTTCCTGCGTCGCGCCTTCCTGGCTCTCGCTCACCTCATTCAGTTGTTGCTCAAGCTCAGCGATGCGTGTGTTGGCTTCCTGCGTCGCGCCTTCCTGGCTCTCGCTCACCTCACTCAGCTGTTGCTCAAGCTGCGTCCTGCTCTCGCTCACCTCATTCAGCTGTTGCTCAAGCTGGGTCCTGCTCTCGCTCACCTCACTCAGCTGTTGCTCAAGCTGGGTCCTGCTCTCGCTCACCTCACTCAGCTGTTGCTCAAGCTGCGTCCTGCTCTCGCTCACCTCACTCAGCTGTTGCTCAAGCTGGGTCTTGCTCTCGCTCACTTCATTCAGTTGTTGCTCAAGGTGGGTCTTGCTCTCGCTCACCTCATTCAGCTGTTGCTCAAGGTGGGTCTTGCTCTCGCTCACTTCATTCAGCTGTTGCTCAAGCTGCGTCCTGCTCTCGCTCACCTCATTCAGTTGTTGCTCAAGCTCAGCGATGCGTGCGTTGGCTTCCTGCGTCGCGCCTTCCTGGCTCTCGCTCACCTCACTCAGCTGTTGCTCAAGCTGCGTCCTGCTCTCGCTCACCTCATTCAGCTGTTGCTCAAGCTGGGTCTTGCTCTCGCTCGCCTCACTCAGCTGTTGCACAAGCTGCGTCCTGCTCTCGCTCACCTCACTCAGCTGTTGCTCAAGCTGGGTCCTGCTCTCGCTCACCTCACTCAGCTGTTGCTCAAGGTGGGTCTTGCTCTCGCTCACCTCACTCAGCTGTTGCTCAAGCTGGGTCCTGCTCTCGCTCACCTCACTCAGCTGTTGCTCAAGCTGGGTCCTGCTCTCGCTCGCCTCATTCAGTTGTTGCTCAAGCTCAGCGATGCGTGTGTTGGCTTCCTGCGTCGCGCCTTCCTGGCTCTCGCTCACCTCACTCAGCTGTTGCTCAAGCTGCGTCCTGCTCTCGCTCACCTCACTCAGCTGTTGCTCAAGCTGGGTCTTGCTCTCGCTCACTTCATTCAGTTGTTGCTCAAGCTCAGCGATGCGTGCGTTGGCTTCCTGCGTCGCGCCTTCCTGGCTCTCGCTCACCTCACTCAGTTGTTGCTCAAGCTGTGTCTTGCTCTCGCTCACCTCACTCAGCTGTTGCTCAAGCTGGGTCCTGCTCTCGCTCACCTCACTCAGCTGTTGCTCAAGCTGCGCCCTGCTCTCGCTCACTCTCACTCATCTGGTGCTCAAGGCTCAGCGATGCTCGCGATCACTTCATGCGTCGCGCCTTCCTGGCTCTCGCTGCATCTCACTCAGCTGTTGCTCAAGCTGCGCCTGCTCTCGCTCATCTCACTCATGTGATGCTCAAGCTGGGCTCTTGCTCTCGCTCATCTCATTCAGCTGATGCTCCAGCTTAGCCATGCTCGCGTTGGTCTCCTGCGGCTCAGCTCATGGCTGCTCGGTGATCGTCATCCAGCTGTTGTTGTTGCTCAAGCTCAGCGATGCGTGCGTTGGCTTCCTGCGTCGCGCCTTCCTGGCTCTCGCTCACCTCATTCAGCTGTTGCTCAAGCTGGGTCCTGCTCTCGCTCACCTCATTCAGCTGTTGCTCAAGCTCAGCGATGCGTGCGTTGGCTTCCTGCGTCGCGTCGTCGTCTTTGTTCTTCCTCTCCTCCTCCACGGCTGCCTGACGGGCCTGCTAACACCATCGCACGTGTTCACAGACAAACATATCAGTACATTCACATCGACTGTTGTTCCAGACACGCACGTGAACGCAATATGATGACAAGATACCGGCATCGCCAGTGAAATGAAACTAGCTAGCAAGGCGGCTTCTTGCCACTTATTAATTGCCACACAAAACTGTGCGAACGAACCTTAAGCTGCTTGTTGCTTGCAAGCAACTGCTTTGCTTTCTCCTTCAGCTTTTCGTACGCCTGCTTTCCTTGCACAATCTCTGCCTCGCGTTGTTGCAGCAATGTCTCCAGCTCCCGCACCCTCTGCCCCGCATCGCCCATCGCGTCACCGTCGCCACCACCAGCGTCACCAGCAGCCCGTGCATGCGCCCCGTCCGTGGTTGTGTGCGCACGCGTGTGTGTGTCCTCTGCTTCCGTGAGTGAGATCTGCAGCGCGGCCACTTTTGACCGCAGCACCTGGAGTTCGTCCTCCTTCTCCGCCAGCTGCGCCTGCATCACCAACACAGTGGGGCGCGGTGGAGCGTGAAAGAGTGTGCGCGTGTGCGTGTGCGTGTGACAGAATGTGCATGGTGAGATGGGGATGAAATTGTAAACGACGTACCCACACACGCACACTCACTGCCTCATTCAACAACGTGCAAACAAGCACACAAGGGCGAGAGCTGGGGTGCATCGCACCTGGTAGACTTGATTGAGCTGCTGCTTGGCTTGCGCATCCAGCTCGAGCGCTGCACACGGGCATGACGCAAGTGCGTGTGTTTGAACGTGAGACACAAAGAGCGCATGTGTGTGTATGTGTGTATGTGTGTATGTGTGTGAGTGTGAGTGTGTGTGTGTGTGTGTGTGTGTGTGTGTGTGTGTGTGTGGCTCTTCACGCATACTTGTAAACAAGCAGCAAAAAGCCTCTATGCATAAACGCCTGACACGCCCATACACATTCACGCACGCGACAACGATTCATGCCACGCGATTACCTTGTTCGAGGTCCTTGATCTGTTGTCTCAAGTGCTGCACTTCTTCGCTCTGGCCACTGCCCGCATCAGTGTCCGGCCCTTGCCGCTGCTGTGCTGTGTCTGCGGAGGAAGTTTCCTGGGGAAGCAGAACGAGGTGGGGATGGAAACACAGTGAGCACGACAAGGTGGAACCCACAGTTGAACCAGTCGAGTGCTCTGATGCGTGTGGGCGTATGTGAGGTGGGTTTTCCAACTCGCCACTTTGTGCAGAGCGTTGAACTCACCTTTTGGGTCTCTGACGCTGGAGTGGATGTGGCTGCAGCAACTTTGTTCTTCAAGGACGCAAACATGCCACCACCACCGCCACGGCTCTGCTGTTGCAGGGCGTTAGCACATGGATGGGGTGTGTGAGTGTGTGTGTGCGTGTGCGTGTGTGCGTTTGTGCGTGTGCGTGTGTGCGTTTGTGCGTGTGCGTGTGTGCGTGTGTGTGTGTGCGTGTGCATGTGTGCGTGTGTGTGTATGTGCATGCGGCAGCCATTAGATTTAGACATAAGTCCTTAGGCGAGTCCTCTTAGGCCGGCGGCAGGCCGCTATGACCCTAGGATCGAGCGTTCCTTTAACGTCCCGGTTCTGATCCGCTTTGGATCTTCTATTGAAATTTATCAGGCATATTTCTGGTCAGGTCAAGATCTTACATTCTTGTGCACTTACTTTGATGGTCAGCATCTTGTGAGACGCCCGGACCTCACATTACAACCAATTGACGCTTGCCACGCAACGAACAGCATGATCTCCATTAGCCAGGGTTGCCGCGGTTTGCTCGTGATCTTAAAAGTGGGCTTTACGAACGCAATGTGTGTGCGTGTGTGTGTGTGTGTGTGTGTGTGTGTGCGTGCGTGTATGTGTGCGTGCATGTATGTGTGTGTGTGCGTGTATGTGTGCGTGCATGTATGTGTGTGTGTGTGTGCACATCCGTGCGTTGCGTTTGCACCTGTGTGCATGCAACGTACAGCAGGGGCAACCAATACTGCACTTCTGCCAGAAGCAATAACAAGGCGCAAGGAAGTGACGGAAGAACCTTATGTTTTGGCTTTCGGTACTTGTTGAGGATCGTACTAAACTCCTTGTAGTTGATCTTGTCGTCGTGATTCTCGTCCAAGGCGTGGATGACGGCTTTCAGCTCTGGTTTGCTCAGAGGCAACTTGATGCTTTTCATCGTGTCCCGGAACTCCTTGCGTGTGATGATGCCGTCATCATCCCGGTCGTACTGTCGAAATAGATCTAGTACACGCAAAGAGTTCTTGTCCATCACCTCAACCATGTTGTGCGCCCATTTGCTCAACACATCATCACCCCCCTCACCTCCAGCTTCATCGTGGTGGTGGTGGTGGTGTTGTTGTTCGCTGCTCATTACCGTTCGTTGTTGTGGTTTGCTGGCTGGCACTTTGGCTGGAAAATTGACCAACATTTTCATACACATTTCTACAACCGCCGCCAGGAACAGCGACAATGAGGACGACGACAGCGGCTGTTGGCCTGCGTGTTGGTGTGGCTGTGTGCGTGGTGTTGGTTGCCTTGGCGGTGCTTGATACACCGGGATCGAGCATGACAGGGCTGTGCCACGCTGCGGGGGATGCACCATTTGCGCACTTGATGCGAGCAAACGATGGAGCTCGAGGCAGGATGATGAGCCGGGATGACGACGACATGAGAGGCGCTGATGGCGGCGCAGGCGGCCGCGATGATGATGACGACCGCACCAATGCAGATGTCGACGATGACGATGATGATGATGGCGGCGAGGAAGAGGGAAGAAAGGGGCGTCGGAATCAAAGACAGGGTGGTGGTGGTGGTGATGATGATGATGGTGGTGGTGGTGGTGGTGCGGGGAGTGATGGCGGTGAGGATGACGAAGCTGAGGGCGATGCCAACGCTCAGGGCGATGATGATGCAGACCAAGAACAGCAGGAAGCGAATGATAAGGCCCGTGTGCTGGACAAGATTCAACAGCGATTGAAGCAGAGACCGCAACCTCAAAGCCAGCAGCCTGCCTCCAAGAAGATGGACGTCAATGTCCTGCAGTATGCCGGAGACACGCTCGACGAAGGTGTGTGCGTTCCATCCTCTTCCCTTTTCCTGACTGATTTGCGTGTGATGCTTTGGGCATGGGATCGGGGGCGGCCTTTAGATGCTCCGTGCTTTTGATCTCACTCTTCTCACTCTGTGCTGCTGCTGCTGCTGCTGCTGCTGTTGTTGTTGTTGTTGTTGTTGTTGTTGTTGTTGTTGTTGTTGTTGTTGTTGTTGTTGTTGTTGTTGTTGTTGTTGTTGTTGTTGTTGTTGTTGTTGTTGTTGTTGTTGTTGTTGTTGTTGTTGTTGTTGTTGTTGTTGTTGTTGCGGTGGTGGTGTCATGCTCTGTTGCGTGGATGCACTGCAGTTGATGAGGATCCCATTCTGCTGCAGCGGCGCTTTCGTCGACTGGTATGCAGATGGTTGTGTGTGTGTGTGTGTGAGGAACACACATGCTCAGATGCATGTTAACAAGGCAGAGGTCACCACGCACTGCGCTTTCGTGTGGCAATGTGGATAGCGTGCAACTTACGCGTTCTATTTCGTTGTTGCCTGCATGCACATGCGTGTTACAGCAAGCGCTCGTGGAGTCAGGGGAGCTGCGCAGCGAGCAGGTTGAGTACTACAAGAAGTATGTCTTGCATCACCCGCGCACGCATAGCCAACACAGCCACAATGGCAACAACGGCAACAACCAGCCATGACACTGCATGTTGCTCGCATCTGCGTTGCTCCCACAGATACGCAATGTGATACTAGCAGTGGTATGTTGTGCGCATTGGTTGCGCAGTTTTTTTTTGGTTCATATTCCCAGTTCGAGCGCTGCTTGTCGTTATCCTTGAGCAAGCTTGCCCACACTACATGTGCGTGCATGTGCATGTACATGTGTACGTGTGTGCGCGCATGCGTGCGCGCGTGGGTAAACGTGCTCCTTTGCCGTGTATGGGATGCAATCAGCGACACTGCCTCGCCAGCTGTTGTCTGTATAGACGCACGTGCGCATTGCACATGCGTCGATATCATATGTGTCTTTTCCAAGAAGATCTAATGGAATGAACCAACGACATATGTACATGCAAAGAGAGGTAGAGGTGTGTGTGGGAGCAACAGTCATATCCTAGCTTCTAAACGACACGAGAGAACAACAACAACAACAACAAAGTGCAACTATGGGGCGGAACCAATTGTGTCTGTGTGTGTGAGAGCGAGTGTGTGTGTGTGTGTGCGTGTCTGTGTGTGTGTGTGTGTGTGTGTGTGTGTGTGTGTGTGTGTGTGTGTGTGTGTGTGTGTGTGTGTGTGT